TGGAGGGATTTCGACGAAACTTGGTATAAACGTATTCCGTTTAAGGACGGTGAAAACACAAAATCTTAAAAAATCTATCGCTTGAGATATTTAGCAACGATTACAAACAAATATTTATAAATTATTCTATACTACTAGGGTTGTGTTAACCATGGCAGCAATCGTGGGTAAATATAAGGACAACACTTCTACAGAGTTATGATAACACTTATAAAAATGCAAATTGTACAATTTAGTTAAAGTATATAGTATTACAAAAATGTTTACAGTTACAACAATACGGCAATTATGTTTTCAGTCGTAAGGGCATGAACTAATCAATTGAAATAGTAGTTATCAGTCATCGAGTCAAGGGGAAGTAAATTTATTGGTATTGTATTCAAGGCAAAACAAGAAATTGCTTTCTTGACCAGATTGTCATGATGAAATCGTAGTTTGAATTTCGCGCTCGAGATTGGCTACTTTTTATCATTAATAATTTGGTAAATAATCACCCGAGGAAAAACTTAAAAAAGATACAGGGATTTTTACGAATTCTGGGACACCCTGTATAATTTGTTTATAGTTGTACATAGATTAGCGTGCCTACGTATAATCAATTTGTAGTTTTTATAAATGCCGTTTTCTTATCTACATATACACTTTTCAGGGAACGCTGCCTAGAGATTGTGGTCCAGATGAATTTCAATGCACGGATAAATTGTGCATACCCTTACGTAAATTATGCGATGGGATTTATGATTGCTTCGATGGAAGTGACGAGCTCGAAGGCTGCGTGAAGAATGTTAGCCATTTTATGTTTTATTTACCATCTAACATCTTCCACATCCCATGCATAATCCTCATAACAGCATGAAATTAATTTTTAGGGGAACTAGGAAAAGGGCCAACAATAAATAATTAAGGTAACTTTGGGTAATAAGAGGCTGCGTGAAGAATGTTAACCATTTTATGTTTTATTTACCATCTAACATCTTCCACATCCCATGCATAATCCTCATAACGACATGAAATTAATTTTTAATGGAACTAGGAAACGAACCAATAATAAATAATTAAGGTNTTTGGGTAATAAGAGGCTGCGTGAAGAATGTTAACCATTTTATGTTTTATTTACCATCTAACATCTTCCACATCCCATGCATAATCCTCATAACGACATGAAATTAATTTTTAATGGAACTAGGAAACGAACCAATAATAAATAATTAAGGTAACTTTGGGTAATAAGGCCCACCATAACTTGAAAGGCCTGTAAAAACTAAAATATAAATTATTTTGAGAAGGGAAAATGAACAAAGTGTACACGGACAATGTTTATTTCAGGTACAAACTATAAAAATAAAATATAATTCTCAAGAAATGCGTAATTTAAAAAATTGAAGAATGGGGCTCCTGGGCTTTGTTACCTGACCGCGTAGGTAATAATGCCCATGAACATCAATAGGAGGATGCACATTAATTTGCACATTTATGGCAAGTTATGTCATCAAGATCCTCGAATGTTCTGTTGCATAATTCATGCATAATCCTCATAACGGCATGAAATTAATTTTTAAGGGAACTAGGAAAAGGACCAATAATAAATAATTAAGGTAACTTTGGGTAATAAGGCGAATGTTAACCATTTTATGTTTTATTTACCATCTAACATCTTCCACATCCCATGCATAATCCTCATAACGGCATGAAATTAATTTTTAAGGGAACTAGGAAAAGGACCAATAATAAATAATTAAGGTAACTTTGGGTAATAAGGCCTACCATAACTTGAAAGGTCTATAAAAACTAAAATATAAATTATTTTGAGAAGAGAAAATGAACAAAGTGTACACGGACAATGTTTATTTCCAGTACAAACTATAAAAATAAAATATAATTCTCAACAAACACATACACTTTTTCCCGTAATTATTTATTGCTAAAGTTTATTACATTCTCTATTATTTCAGCTATTACCGCTATAGCAGGTTATTTAAAATTTTGATGATTTAGGCATTTGAAAATTTTAAATAAACAGTAGAAGGTAAAAAAGTGAAAATCATAGATGTCGCCAGGGTATTACAGGGTACCGAAGAAACAATACAGATATCGTCGGTCGTTTTAATGAGTAACGCGCAAGCACAAAATTAGTTCCTCACTTCCGTCTACGACGTCAGATGGCACTGCAAACACCATCTAATTTTTAGATTAGAGTATCAACCCCCTGATCTCAATTTACCATGGACTCGCCCACAGCCCCAGTATTAACCTCAATGGCCGTTTCATTCTTCCACTAACCGCCAGAGGGAGCCACCACATTGCACTTATGTTTAAAAATTTCACTATATTGCACTATATGATGAAAAATAAGCATGGGTCTTGCTACCCATATGAGCCTTATTATCGAAAGTTACCTTACTTACACTTAATTTACTCGACAATTGTTTGGTTTTCTTAATGTGTCTAATTGTAAACGGCTATTTTCAGAATACCTGTCCCGAGTTACAATGCAATAATGGCGTTTGTATTCTCTACGAGTGGGTCTGCGATGGAACACCCGATTGCCTGGATAACAGCGACGAAATGGATTGCAGTAAGTCTTTTTTATATTATACATAACTTATGAAATTATTTTCGTTGCTTATAACATCTTAAATTTCTAAACGAGAGGAAATTTAATGCGAAATTAGTAGGGTACTGAGGTACAGCCCTTTAAGGTGTTATGAAACTGTCATCACATATGCTTATAACAAAACGTCAAAATATTTATAAGACTTTAATTTTATTATAAAACAATCCAAATTGGGTGCATCGGATCATTTGAATTTTTAACATGTGGTTGTGGAGGTCTTAATGAAGGTCTTGAAACTAACAAACTTTAATTGTGCCAATAAGTTGTTATTTGTTATATGATAAATATTAGTGATGAATTTTCTCATTTTTAGATGATCGTGTAATAAAGCCCCAGGAATGTACCAACGAGAAGGATCGTTATTTATGCAAGAACAGAAAATGTATTTTGCTGAGCAAAGTGTGCGACGAAAAAAATGACTGCGGCGATAATTCCGACGAGGACAAAGTAGCTTGTGCCCGTGGTACAGTATAAAAATATAATATGCATAATTAGTAGGGTGCATAAACACGAAGCTGCGGTATTCAGGGTGAAGTAAACTCGTTATGAAATTTAAGGAGATGTGAAAGTGGCGTCAAAGAGGTCTCGTTTATGAAACTTTTCTCCGATCTGGCAAGGAAACATTCCCAAGTGTCCGCCCCCGATCTTATTGGTTTCCATATATGTTGAAGAACACAAAAATCTAAGAGACACGTATTTTTTTATATCTGCGATGGTCCACATTTAAGGGGTGAAACAACCCCCCAAAGTTTGGCGAAAATTCAGTTTTTATAATAATTTTCGTAGAAGCAGTGGAGGGATTTCGACGAAACTTGGTATANTGATAATGTATATGCGCGTATGAATTAAAGTCACATTTTTTCATACGAGTAGTAAACAAAACATGACATATATTAATCTTATGACATTTGACGATGAATTATGACAATGACGATGACGATGATGTAATAAAATAAATGACAGCACCAATGTAGATCTGTTATGTTACAAATATGTGCTGCATATACACAGTAATATCAGGACAGTAACATAATGTAAGATAAGAGTAACAAAGTTACGCTACATTTATATAGATGTGATAGTAATAAATGTTATGTAACCTGTTAGCTCCATGTTACATAACTGTTAAGTTCCTGCATTGTAACAAATGTCATGAAACTAACATGTTAAGTAACATGTTATATTAATGTTATAATTTCAGTTACCTCAAAATAATGTTAATTTTTCATACATTTAAGAAAAAAAATCACGCAATTTTATCCAAAATTATATAATTTTGAGAGCACCGAATTATCTGAAACTTTACCACGTAATTATGGAGGCTCTATGGAAAAACGTGCTACTCGTGAAATTTCATTTTCCGATAAAAATGTTTCATTTATCTCGGACAAGAGCCAAAAAAGATATTTTCTTTCGAAGAATGAACTTCCACGAGGATCGCGTTCTTCCTTAGAGCCTCCATAATCACGTGTTAAAGTTTCAGATAATTCGGTGCACTCAGTTTGGAGAAAAGTTTTATGAATATTTTGATTTTTTGGGAGATATATATCACACTTTCATATCACCTTAAACCGCATATGATCTTCCGAACGAATAACCTCTCAGTTTTGGCGTGTCGGTGGTCGGTTCGCAACCCGCTCTCCATGTGTTCATGACCATTAATCGTAATGAAACGTAAATGGCATAGTCTCGATATGACCATATTACATGGTGTGCGCGTCATTTGGCGATGTATGTGTTTGTCTGATACTCAAAGATGCGAATGTCTGTAGGCATTCAATCAGGGTTGTCAGCTCTGATCTCACGATTAGTTCAGTAGCCACGAACACCTCTGGCGGACAACATTACGCGCCGACATAACATTGTGTAGTTCATGGTTGGGTGAAATAAATAATTCACCGACAGCAATGGATACCAAATAATTAGTGCATTAACAGGAATCTTGACAGAATTCTGTTCGTTGTCTGTGTGGAAGAACTGCAGCGTATTAGGAGTACTGTTGGTAATTTTTAATATAAAAGTATCTAAAAAATTAGTACCTACCAAACACACTATGTTACGGTTACATAACCTGGAATTACATGATATATAACAAATGTTATTCTGGAGATACGTTAATATCATGTAAGGACAGGTGGAGTATGGAAATCAAATAATTAGAGCATTAACAGGAACCTTAACACAATTTTGTTTGTTGTCTGTGTGGAAGAACTTCAACATATTAGGAGTACTGTTAGTAATTTTTAATATAAAAGTATCTAAAAAATTAGTACCTACCAAACACACTATGTTACGGTTACATAACCTGGAATTACATGATATATAACAAATGTTATTCTGGAGATACGTTAATATCATGTAAGGACAGGTGGAGTATGGAAATCAAATAATTAGAGCATTAATAGGAACCTTAACACAATTTTGTTCGTTGTCTGTGTGGAAGAACTGCAGCGTATTAGGAGTACTGTTGGTAATTTTTAATATAAAAGTATGTAAAAAATTAGTACCTACCAAACACACTATGTTACGGTTACATAACCTGGAATTACATGATATATAACAAAAGTTATTCAGGAGATACGTTAATATCATGTAAGGACAGGTGGAGTATGGAAATAAAATAATTAGTGAATTAACAGGAATCTTAACACAATTTTGTTTGTTGTCTGTGTGGAAGAACTTCAACATATTAGGAGTACTGTTAGTAATTTTTAATATAAAAGTATCTAAAAAATTAGTACCTACCAAACACACTATGTTACAGTTACATAACCTGGAATTACATGATATATAACAAATGTTATTCAGGAGATACGTTAATATCATGTAAGGACAGGTGGAGTATGGAAATCAAATAATTAGAGCATTAATAGGAACCTTAACACAATTTTGTTCGTTGTCTGTGTGGAAGAACTGCAGCATATTAGGAGTACTGTTGGTAATTTTTAATATAAAAGTATGTAAAAAATTAGTACCTACCAAACACACTATGTTACGGTTACATAACCTGGAATTACATGATGTATAACAAAAGTTATTCAGAAGATACGTTAATATCATGTAAGGACAGGTGGAGTATGGAAATTGGTGCAATACCCGATATAATTTGACAGAGCTGTCTATATAAAAGCAAACGTCGGCAACGTAGGTATTTAGAAAAATCTTCATTATCGACGTCGATCAAGTTCTTCGACGTGTTTCACTTCACCTTAAGGCTATTACTGTTCTCCATGGACGTACGTACATCTACGCATACGGTATGGACAATGCTTTTTATTAATCAGCTCTTATCAGACGGCGTCGTCTAGACATGATTTCCCTGTGCCAGGAACTCGTAAATGCATCTTCGCAGTGTCTATCTTAAACTGACATTATAAACGTACATATTCGTGCCTGTAATATAACCCTGTATAAGTTGACAAGGTTTAAAACCGACCTTTAGGCGCTCTTAGTAGCCCAAGGGTTAAGGTGAAGTGAAACCCCCTTCAAATCCGTCGATTCGAATACAACACTATTTTTTAAGGATGTTAGACCAAACTGTCCGAAACTTTGACACATCACTCCTAATCATCTAAGAATTGTCCTGATGCATTCAAAATTTGGATTTTTGGAAAAAATTTGTTAACAGCCCAGACCAGAATCAAAATGGCGTCAAGCTCTCATATTTCAATCAATATACAATTATCGAAGGCTCTGATATAAGAAACGAAAGGGTCAGGACAATTTTACGACAATTTAGAACACTCTGGTAATCGATAAACTCGCATTTGAACGAGATAAAGGTAAAAAAAGTGTTGTATGCGTTTCTATGATAAAACGATGGGAATACGAGGTCTTGGCGTGAAAATTTAATTGACCTGGAAATCACAGATGGCGCAGGGGGTCCCTCTGCAGTCAATTAGGGCCCCAGAAAGCGTGAATTCAGAGGATTTCTGGAGTTTTACTTCGATTTCTTGATATTTATTGTACGAAAACGACAGGTGGAATATGCCATTTGGTACAATACCCAATATAATTCGACACAGCTGTCGATATAAAAATGAACGCCGGCAATGTAGGCATTTAGAAAAATCTTCTTTATCGACGTCGATCAAGTTGCTCGACGTGTTTCACTTCACCATAATATCAAGTACTGATCAACACAAATTTATAACATATATTACACATTTTACTTGAAAATATGTTATACGATTAGTATACCATGTCTGAATAAAGCTTCAAAGAAAATTGTTATAAAATTATAATATTTTTTTAACAATGTAATAGGTGAAATGATCGACAGAATTTGTTAACTGTACGGAATGGCTTTTATAAGAATAACCTCTAAATGTCTGACTTCCATTTCAAGTCAATTATCAAATTATAAAACACTGTTTAGCCCACAGGCCACATTTGTCAGAAATGGATTTATTCGCAATATTAAAATTCAATTGAACTTGATTATGTTTCAGGTGATGTCACGATTAATAATCGCAGTTCTACTCCTCGGTGTCTTTATACACGAGTCTCACAGTGCAAGTAAGTTTCTTATAATTTGATATCAATAATGAAAGGTTCTAATTGTCTGTTGTATAAACAGTTATACATACATACAGGGTGTTAGGAAAGTCTGGAAACGGTCTAATATTTTGAAAACAAAACATTTTTGAGAAAAAAAAAATGTCAGCCCACAGTTTTAAGGTTTGGAAAATTCTATAGGATGGTTATACTCACTTGACCTTAAGTGTAGGGGTCAAGGTGACATCAGGGTTAACATGATTTTTTTTTAATGGAATCCCCTATTTTTTATCAGGCAGTGTTCAAGCTGATAATAAGGTCTTTCCAAAGAATTTATGCTTTAGAATTTATGGTATTAGCATTTATGGCTTTGGAATTTATGGTATTAGTATTATCCAGGATACACCTTGTATAGGTTTCCCTTAAGGTGAAGTGAAACCCCCCTGAAAACAGTCGATTCGAATAAAATACTTTTTTTTAAGGGCATTGGACCAAACTGTTCGAAACTTTGACACATCACTCCTGATCATCTAAAAATTGTTTCGACACATTCAAAATTTGTATTTTTCATACAAATTTTTAATGACCTATTTCTATTAAGTATTTCCTGAGTTATGAGCTTTAGAATTTATGGTGCCACCAGTATTAACATTATCCAGGATACACCTTGTAAAGGTTTTCCTTAAGGTAAAGTGAAACCCCCCTCAAATCAGTCGTTTCGAATAAGATACTTTTTTTAAGGGTATTGGACCAAACTGTTCGAAACTTTGACACATCACTCCTGATCATCTAAGACTTGTCCTGACACATTCAAAATTTGGATTTTTTTATTTAATTTTATAACTCAGCCCAGATGAGAACCAAAATGGCGTCGAGCTCTCATATTTCGATCAATATACAATTATCGAAGGCTCTGATATGAGAAACGAAAGGGTCAGGACAATTTTACGACAATTTAGAACACTCGCTGGTAATCGATAAACTCGCATTTGATTGGAATAAAGGCAAAAAAAGTGTTGTATGTGCTTCTTTGCTAAAACGATGGGAATACGAAGTCTCGGAGTGAAAATTTAATCGTACAAGTGTCCTGACACTTTCGTTTCTCATATCAGAGCCTTCAATAATTGTATATCGATCAAAATATGAGAGCTCGACGCCATTTTGGTTCTGGTCTGGGCTAAGTTAAAGAATTTTGAGTAAAAATCCATATTTTAAAAGTATCGGGGTAATTCCTAGGTGCTCACGAGTCATGTGTCAAATTTTCAGACGGTTTGATCCAATACCTTTTAAAAAAATGTCTTATTCGAATCGACTGATTTGAGGGGGGTTTCACTTCACCTTAATGGCATAAATCAAATACACCTAAATTAATCGCAACAATTAGAAATTAATTTATATCATCACATCATAATAGTTCATCTTACCATTGGCAAGCGTTAACAACGAAACAATTAACTGTCGGCATTCTTATTCAATGCTCTTGTGTTTTCCTTAGTTTGTTGAAGAAACTTTTTTACTGCTTAATTAACATATGTGCAATTGCCTAATTAAACATATGTAATCCAGATGTGAAGTGTACGAAGCCTTCTTGGTTCAAGTGTCGTAATGGTAACTGCATATCGCACTCCTTGGAATGCGACGGCGACAATGATTGTGGTGATAACTCGGATGAAGAACATTGTAAATTCAAGGTAAATTGAATAAATAATTTTTTTACCAAATGAAATATAAGGCCAACTCCGGAGAGTTGTCAACGTATAACTAGTCACATAGAAAAGAATCACGTAGAAAGAAATTGTTATCATTACCACAATTCCCTAGTAACACAAAATATTTCTCCTACATTTTCTATATATTTAACGAATATCGTACATT